GGTATCGGTGTTGGGTTTCCCCTATTGGTAAGCAGGGTTTGAATGAAATTATATACCATGGCCGCCCGAAGACTAGTTCCTTTCATGGAGACTAACGGTTGTGGCTCATATATACGACACTTTGAGAAAATGCCCGAAACGCGGATCTCATCAATGAATCAACGCGCGCTGAGGGCAGCATAAATTTCCAAATCACCCTTTGACCCTTCTTGAACCATCTGGCACTGCTTGCGACACCCACCCTCACCAACTCCTCCCAAGCCTTGCACACAAATCCACAATGCATGATTTCATTTATTCAAGAACATGTTGTGTCCAGGAATCCTGCCATGATACTCGAAATTCAGGGCTCGGTTCCCTCCAGGCCACCAGGACCCCGTAAGATGCCGGAAAAATACGGCTTCGGATACTTCGGCCCGTGAGGCATGAAGAAAACAACAAGCAGCACAGGCCTTGCAGGATCCCCCTCGAGCTCGGCGATATCTGCGTCCACCTGCACCGTTTAAGAACTTGTTGGACTTGGGGCGCGGTCGAGGACTATGAGTGTTGAATGCTTCCTGAACCTCGAGATTTGGAAGCACCTGACTTGTAAGAGGCAGCCTCAACAAACACAAATAAGAGAATTCAAGCCCGCCAATTTTCCTCCCTGACATGTCGATGACATTGGCCCCGCATGTTCCTGTTGAAAGAGGTCCATGCCTTGCCGGCAAGGGCCGGTCTTGCATTTTGCTTACTGTAGTAAAGCATTCGTGCTACGTGAGTTCGTGCAGCATTATGGCCGCATCGTGTTCGGATGATTCCAGGAGCCTCTTAATTAAAAGGTTGCGTAGGTCATGCGGCCCATGTCCCCAAGACTGTACAAACAAGTGAAATACCCACACTTCTGGCTTGTTGACTATGCTGATGATTTATGATCTCAGAATACAGCAAGGCTACTCATCGCTGGCCCATGCATGAACCGTGCAAATGTTTGAGGAGCTCGGCAAGGATGGCTCCCCCGGCCCAAAGGCCCTCAAGAGGCCAAGACTGCCAGTCCCCAGAGGCTGGTCCTCAATCCTCTTCTTGTGTGTGCACCCGAAAACATAGTTGGGATGCCATGAATAAAGTAGAATTTCTGCACCAAAACAGAATATTATACAGGATATAAGCCTTTTGATAGCGCTTGATATGGGAGTTTCCCAACATTAGGGGAACCTTTTAGGGTCCCCATAATAAGGACTATGACATAATATTTTGGTGTCTATATTGGGGTCCCCCTATTTAGGGAAACTACCTTATTTACTGAGAGTTCCGTCCCAGAGGCTGGCGAGCACCAAATAATTGGCTTACGGTGCAGCAGGAAGTGAGCTATAGCCTAAACTTCTAGCATCCCATTCATAATCCCTGTAGTAGTCCCCCTATATAATCTCCATGAAGAATTTTTCATTAATTCTCAAGTAGGATTCCGCAAGGAGACACGATCCACCAGGCCTTCTCCACTGTGAAAAACCTCAGCCACAAACGCAGATCTCTATCATAGATTATGGTAACTTAATTTCAGTTCCTTAATCCCTATATTCCCCCCAGTTTCCATTTCATTTTCCATTTTCTTTTCCATTTGATTCTCCATTATAGGGAGATAATATACCCTAAACCCTATAGTAGACATGTCGGGGCAAGACCCAGCTACAGACTTCCCCCGTCCCCCAAACAGGCGAAATAGGCTCTGATGTCTAGGAGGAGTCGAACTTGAAGGGCTGGGAGGGAGGGACATTCCCAAGCCTAAACACCCATGAGATTTGATGACCTACAGTGACACGGGGAGGCCCTCAAAACCCTGGTGAGACTATGGAGATTATGACGGGATTGTGCGGGCCATCCTGATGGAGTGTATGCGGCTGATGACCTCCAACATGTTCTTGATGGCCGGCACACATGATGTCCGAACTGCAACTATGCTGTTCTGGGTTATGCAATACCTAGGGGCGATATTTTGCAAGGGCCCCAAATCCAGACCATAACTTCGATAGCCTGCCATCTAATAAACCTGCAGGTGGCCTTCGCGCTGCGTAGCTCCCCCACAGCGGCCGGGTCTTCATCTCATCCTCCCGAGTGCTACGGGGTGGGAGCCAAATTCTGGGAGGCCGACTGGATGTGCCTCACCAGCTTCTTGACCCACTTCTCGGGGCTATTGGGACATAGACAAATAATCAGAACCATAATACATCCGGCTTTATGTTGTGGTCAAAGAGGAGCCTGACCTCCTTATAAACCCCGACCTTCGACTCCATATTAGGAAGCAACTCCCATGTGTGGAGCCACGTAATTCCTAAACCTGACCCTAGAGCCTTATCCCATAAACCACACCCTCTGGTTCCTACATTCGGCTTTGGCCTGAATCTTAGCCCAAACTCAAAGGATCTGTGCGCTGTGCCTGCTGTTGTATGATGTGGAATATGCATGCCACGTTGCTTCAGGATTGTATTGCGGCTCTCAGCTGGATTGCCCACCATCTGTGTCACTCGGACATGATACTTTAGCTGCACGTGTTGGGCCCTCGAGTACTGACAAAAAGACAGGCCAGGGCTTGGCAACTTGCGCCATGAAGGCGTATGTTGGTTTGGGGTCTGTCGCTTGGGTGGTGATCTTGAGGGCATGGGAGGGCTAAAATACCAAGACCATGTCCACAGAGCGAGGCACGGTTGGTTCTACTATGCTGGAAACGAAGATACTCCAAATACTCTAGAGTGAGAGCTCCGAAACGCTGGGAAACTCCCCATCTGGCTAACCTCTAGACTGCAGGTTGGAAAACAGGTTTGTGGGGAGTATGGGGCATATAGGGGATATATATATATATTGCACATGGAAAAGACAGCGGAACCCACTGTTTAGGGTTTAGGTGGCCTTTCTCGCTTTGAAGTTCATGACGCGTTGTACCATCGAGCCTTGTCCGGGAGCGGGGGGGGATAGGGAGAAATGTGGAGAGGGGAGAGAAGGGATTAAGGCTTTAGAGATTTAGGGTTTAGGGAGTTGGGGTTTAGGGTGATAGAAGCACAAGTATTTCAAGAAGGCCTCTTGGTCCATGTCTGCTCAAAGTTGCTAAGAGTATGGCTGGAATCACAAACAGACAGCAAGCTTCTTTGACTGAGTAATCTCGCGTCATCTTCGCAAAATAACTATCCGATATTCTCTCAATCCTAAACCCTAAATAGTAGTTTCCATTTTCCATTATCCCTATATTACCCCCCATATCCCCATTTTCCCTACTAACCCCAGGGTCCCTGTCTGGAGCTACCGGAACCCACATGCTTTGGGCTCATCTTGGAGAACTTTCACGATTGGTAACTTTCGGATATTCTCCATATGGCCAAGTTGAGTTTTTGCTAGTATCTTTCACGAAAGGTTGGCAGAAAATGAGGTAGACGAGCATTAGCACCCAGGCGCTCAAGTTTGTTTGAAACCGAAAAGACTTCCCATTGCGGCTATGCTAATGTGTATACTATTCGCGATGCTCCCTTTATAGCCTCAGCTGGAGGTAGCAGGTTCAGAGAGAAGAGGCGCCGACAAGCTGAAGATGCACCGGACACTGTAACTGCATGTTTAGTAGTCCTGCTGCTCTGCTAGGCTGCTTTCTAACCTCTTCTGAGCCGGGTGTCTGTCTTTCAGCATGTCCTGTATGCCTGACCACTCGGGCGGCGTAAGAGCGCTGATGGACGGGAGCCCGGAGGAGGGCAGCAAAAGCAGATACCTCGAGATTCCCAAAAGGCTTATACAGGGACCACTATAGGGCTCCGCCCTTTCATTCCGTGCTAACAAGCGCCAGGCAGGACAGGGGCAGGAGGTTGTTGGCTCCTTAGGGCCTGAGTCATTGGAAACAATGCTGCTCTTTAGCTAAGTTCTCTGCTTGAGCTCATATGATAAGAGCAGCGAAAAGTAAGAACACCGACGACCAGAAGAGCGGTGATCAGGGGGATCACGTTCATGGCATCACATTCAACAGAAACAAGCATGCCCCAGGGTTGAATTTGGCAGGGTCCTTGACACGCTTGGTGGGCTCACTAACTCAGATCTTGGAAACTGCCCCGCCCCCCAACCCCCAAGAACAAAAACGTAGCTCGGGGGCCACATGGGGCTGTATGATGCCTTCAGGGTCATGATCTCAAAAGTTAATTTACAACTGGATGCACTATTTGTGGAAATGCTACTAAACCCGGATCCCAAAACCTTAAACCCTCATTCAAACCCTAATTAGTCCATTCAACGTCTTCATTCGCATGATGTGTTTGCGGCGCTGAGACCTGCACTGCTACACCCTGTACATCATGAAGCGCAAGCAGACATGGGGGCTTCCAGAAATTAGGGGTGCGATTGTTGGAGGGTCCATATGAGGTCTAAACTTAGCATTTCCCTTAATAACCCCTATACTCGGCCCCTATATAACCCTTATATAACCCCCAAAACGGAGTTCTGACTATAGCCCATATAAAAGGAGAACAGTACTTCAGGGTCTTTATTTGGGGCTCCCTATGTATAGAAACCCCGAACGAGCCTTCAACCCTCAGCTCTGAAAGCTCGCATGCCTACCCGAACAGGACTTCTTGCAGAGAACCGAAGTCCCTCAGAGGGAGGCCATTTAGTTCTGAATTAATCTCTATACTACACATCTCTTGCATGCCCCTGGCTACCCTGCTTCACAACAAGGACTTGCTTGTGATGCTGCCATGAGGCACAGCCTCTAAGACTCGACGGATTGGGTCTGGGACCACCTTTGAGCAGTTTCGGCGAGTTTCAGAAGCGCAGAGAGGGGTTCATGAATCCCAAACAGAAGTTGAGGGGAAGGGTTTGGTGAAATTGGACAGGACGGACCTGTATTCAAGCGGGCTAGATCACAGCTCGTGGCTGTCCTTGGGTCATTAGGGTGTATAAGGTGAAGGTCATTCGGATTTCATGAGCAGCTCCGGGCCCTCAGAAAGGATTTCTGCAGCATAAAGACAGTTGCGTCTGTCTGCCGCCATGCTTGCCTTGACCCCTTGAATGCCACTGAAGCCTAGGCACCGTGAGAGTCTCGAGCTTCTTCAGGTCATAGGGGTCGATCTTCTTGATCTCTTCCTCGCACTTTCGCAGCCTTACGCCTAAATCATGTTTACAGCCAGGCATTTATTGGCGGAGCACAGTAGATGGGCTGCCCCTTGTAGCCAGCGCTCAAAGAAGATTGGGCAAAAGCACTATTTCGATGCATGGGGAGGTAGGGTAAGCACAAGCCGCAAACCCAAGTCAAGGAAACAGGGCAGATTCGTACTACTCCTGCCGATTAAGCAGAGAGATCCAGCTTTAAGGCAATACGGGACATACATATGTATATATATATATATGTGTATATGTATACACATATGGGCAACCTCCACTCAAGAAGCTCTTCAATGAGAGGCCGTACTTTGGACATAACAGCTTGTGATTTTGCCAGCTTCCTCGATGGCAAAGCCATTGATGGTCTCCAGCTCTGCCCGGATGTCCGGAGCTACGATTGGAAGCTGGATGTCTGCCTTTGTCATTCTTGCCCTGGACTTAAGGCACGCTTGATGTTTAAGAAAATTCTATCAACAAATTGCGCTGCCACCATTCGTTATCATCAGCATTTTTGCTGTGAGCATGTTACCTATTCTGTGTCATCCGGCGAACTTGTTAGGGTTACCTTTAAGGCGCCATCATTCGTTCTATGAGTACTGCTGTGGCTGCAGCTCAAGCCATTATTGAGGGCCTAGGGTATAACTAGCCTCAATACAGCGCTATGAAACTGACATGTAGGCCTGGGGTAGGTAGAACCTCACTTATCGACTTCCCAGATGCCTTGGAAACCGTCAACATCCCCTAGTCATAAACCTAAAAGCCGTAAACCCTAAACCACAAACCTCAAAATCAAAAATGCCCGCAGTTTCCATGTTTTGTTCAATTTTCTTTTCCATTCGATTCTCCATTATTGAGGGGTCAAAACTGCAAGGTCGGCTGCAACGGACCACTCCAGGGTCTTCGCACCATCATTGGTCTCTGCAATCTCTAAGGCGCCTTTGAAGGAGTGGGTGCCTGCTCCAGGAAGCCGCGAGCGAAAAAAGGGTTAAAGGGGTGCGGGGCGACAGGCATGCAGACAGGGATTGGACAACTCTTCGAGTCTACAGTGCTTAGGTCCTTCAACGAGGTCCGGTTACCGAAGTCACAAACAAAGCGTGTGGTTCTCCGAAGTCAGTGACCTGCCCGTTCCCTCATGTTTCGAAGCGGAGGGAAAATAGACGGGCCTGTGTCGAAGATCCACTCGATGAACTCGGTGAACTGGACATGCCCATCCTCATTGATATCCATTCCTGAGCACGCACGTCAGCTTCTAGGCATAGGGCACGGGGAATATGGGTAAGCTGGCGCCGCCAGATTCCTAAAGACGAAGGCCTGCTCCTCTTGCACCACTGAAAGCCAGCCAGTTCAGGCCCGTGAGAAGGGTGTACTTCTGAATACTGTGAACAAAGCTCCTTCTCCTCTCAACTGGAAAAACATGCTGCTTCCAAGCACGAAGAAGGATGGATAAGGATAAGATTCAACGATGGCATTTAAAATTTCATGCCTTTGGCTTGTTAAGCTGTTCTGACGGCCCAGTACAGTAGTAGTTATCGTCGTGGTGTCGTCGGCGGTGGTGGTGGCGGTGGTGTGGCGGCATTGGTGGTCGTTGGCAGTGGCTGTGCCAGCCTTTATAGAGGAGAAGTAGGAACAATATGGAATAATCAAAGCTAAGCCCTTGAAAAGCCATGTTGACCAAAGGCTCCATCGAAAAGTCGCTTGATGGCATTTGAGGACCACTGGCCTGGCATGCGAGGTCAAAGAGGAACCGTGGGCGGTAGGGCACATTGCTGTGTGGAGATGTCTTGGGGATTGCAAGTTGCTTGAAAAGCCTTTACTCTTCGTCGAATGTGCAAGGATGTGCATAGGGTCGAGTGGTACACATCGGGGGGAGATCGCGCTAGTCCGAGCTTGGCAAGCTGTAAGGCACACAAGGCTCCTTGAGTCATTATTGGCAAAGGCGGTGCCCGTGCTTAGTCTGGAGAATATTCTTTAGCAGATTGCCTTATTCAAGTAGACTTCCTGGTTGTTTAGAGGGAGAAGAGAATATAATCCCTGTATAACTTATGCTCACATCCCCTACTACCCCCCAGTAACTAGAGAGACTAGCGGCGTCCTCGTGGACTGATGCACTGCCAGCTCAGGTTATGGACGCTGCAGGGACCCCAGGTCATAGTCGCATGCAGAGATGCCACTGGAGCAATGTGCATAAGTTGTGCCAATGCCGTGCCCGCACCCTCAGAATCCAGAATAGTAGGTAAAGGCACACTGAAGGATGTCCCTGGCGGGTCCTTAATTACAGTACTCACCACCAAAACTAACCAAGGTCTGAACGCTTAAGACGCCCCGGCTTCTAAAACCCCCAACGCCTGAGACCCCCACAAGCCTAAAATCGGCCGCACACCGAGAACCGTGAAAGCCGCGAACTGCGAACCCCCCGTCTCACAGTTGCATGCCGGGAGGCGTGGCGCAAGGACCTGGAATACCATTGCAAGCTCTGACTGCTCTATGGTGCCGTTCCCATTGAGGTCAAACCTCAGGCAGCGTGCTGGATTGAGGTTTTAGGGTGGGGGTGATTGGGATGAGGTTCAAATATCAGCAAGGGATCTATTGGGGGCGCGGTCGAGCTGCTGGCACTGCTGCTCACCGCAGGCGATGCAGCAAGCCCAAGATTTTCAGACTGCATAGATCTTATTGTTATCTTACTGGCTGCTCGTATGGAATGGACGAGCGAATGCCAAATTACATGGAAACTGCTGCTTATGTGATCAGATAAGGTTTTGGGTTTTCTGGCTGCTTGTTAGGGACTGAATGGAATGCAGAAGAAAATGGAGACTAGTATATGCGCTATGATCAAACTCCTAGTATTCCCCTTAATAACCCCTATAATATTCCCTAAATAATCCTCTATATAATGCCCTTTAATGAGTTTAGACTATAGCTCAAATGGAGACGAGTATACTCTTCGGGAAGAGGTAGGACCTCAGGAGCTACAGCCAGTCAGTAGATCCACGGCCTACCTTCTGCAAAGACCACGCTCATTTCGGAATAGGTGATCTAGGGCTTGGGGTTTAGGAACTTATAGCGCCATCTATCAAGGACAATTCCCGAACAAGACATGAGGGTTCCATGATGCGCGGGTTAGCAGGCAAGTGTGATGCTTTGGTCCTGGCTTAAGCTTGCAAGCTAAAAAGCCCTGGCAATCAACAACTCAACAAGTATGCAAGTATCCCCACAGCCTAGGAGACCCGTCTCTGTCACCCTGACCGATGACCATCTCCTTTGCTTTTGACGACAAGTGGACCCGGGCCCTCGACAGAATGCTACGATTACAGATACGCTGCAGCCCAAAGTAACGCCTGAAACGGGATGGAAAACCAAAACAACAACATCATGACAAGTTGTCGTTTAGGTTCTTACAAGCGTTGATCATTTCGGATGTGCCGTGTGCCTTGAGAAAATCTTCTTGATGGTCTCCTTGCCCATGCTCACCACAACCGGTGGTGCCTCCACCTTGCAAACCAAGCAAATACCAGTACGTGTTTCTCACTATGTGATCAAAGTTTAGGATTAAAGAGCCAGATCCAGAAAAGTCCCGAATAGCTTGTTCAGTGTCTACGTAGCCATGGGCAGGGACAAAATGTGTTGGGATTCAATATGAGGCTGCAGAGGCTTAGAACAAGTAGAACAGGTAAAGAAAGACCTAATCAAACGCCGTCCACAATTCCGGTGTTGTCAAACCCAAACAGTCTGCCAGAAACCTCCTCTACCTCCTTCGACAGGACCCCTTTGTTTGCAAGAACTTGTTGTGCTGCAAAGAGTCATGTGATCTGCATGATAGTAAGACCATGTTGCAACTTGGAGTAGCGCACGGTAAACGGATGGGCATCATCACAAACTTGCAAAACAGTTGAGATTGAGGTGCTTAACAGCATTCCCGAAAATTTATCTGACCTCCTGCTGACGCCTTTGTGTTCCAAAGCCTTTTCGGATGTGGTTGGCAAGTCTTGTCGCCCGACCCAAGGTTATCTCGGAACAGGGAATACAAGCCCCCAACGGCAGCGAACACCTCTTGGGATTTTCTAGATCCCAAAAGAAAGAATAAAAAATCCTGGTGTCGACCCTGGGACTTTCACGAACCCAGTGCCTCTGTGGAGGCTGCTGAGGCCGCATCTTCGGCCTTTGCCTGCTTGGTAGCATGTCCAAATCTCAGAGTCTTGGACCCGTGTAATGGATTGGATGTTCCACACATCGATCCCCACACAAGGATATTGGCCAACACGAAAGCAACTGAGCCATCTACTTCTTAGCTATAGGGCGTTCGGGCTTTAACACCTGGGGCTTGCAATAGCAACTGTGGTTCGACTGATGCTGTAGTTGTGCTTGCTGGGCCGATTCTCATTACAATCATGACTACTAGCTGCCGTTTGTTTGCGGTCGAAGCCAAACGGAGTCAGCGTGCAAACGGCCAGGTCGAAAGCAAAACTGGGTTGAGGATTGTTGAGGATGGTTAAGGACTCCAAACTAATCGTCCCTGGCCATGTTTGATTGTATGGCTCAAGCCCCTCCTAGAGTCTGTGTTATATGGACTCCAAGTAGGAGAGTCACAGTATTGAGGTGGTCCTGCACAATCCTCCAAGGCGTTTCCATGTAGGAACAACGAAATATCACCTTCACTGTGTTATCATATGTCATCCATGCATCCGCGCACATTCCACCCCAAAAAGGCTTTACTAGGGTGGCCATGTTGAAGCTTGTCTTTCCCGGCCCCCCGGAGGACCTGCGCCTCTTTGGGCTCCTTGGCGTCCGTGCGCTCTTTCGAGCCTGGCAGCCCAGGTCTCTAACCATGCTGTCACGCTCAAGGCTTTGGATCTGAGATGAGTTAGGTTTTGGGCTTGGGAGGAGACAAACAAGCAGCAGAATTTGAGGCAAAAGCCGTAGAATCCGTAGAAGGAGCAGGAGGATGAGGAGGAGAAGCAGCAAGTGGTCATTTCGGCAGCAGCGGC